TCCGCAGCATTCTGTTGCCGGCAATTGGTAGAGTAGGTTGAGGTCTTTATTTCATTCAGTGTGCGTGAAATCACGTGACCCTTGCTTCCGGGCGAAAAAGGCCAAAACCGGAAGTATCTTATCATTTAAAAGTGGTAATAGATATGAACTTGCTTTTAACGGTGTTAGTCTCTTGGCCAATAGTATTCTTCAAATCATTTACCGATGACGTCATGCAATCTTCGAGCGCCCTCTAGCGACAGGTTGAAACTTTTCAAAAATGTGTTTTGAATAGATGTCTGTGGCGAAGTTTGTCAGAATCGCTTAAATATTGGTGTATAGGATGACCTTGACCCCCTTAAGACGTGTGAGAAGTTTTAGGCGTATAACCTCATCAGACCGGAAGTTATAATGAAAAGACACTTTTTCCTGTGAAAATTCCTGAAAAATCAACCATGGCAGTTTTTATATTTGTTTTTACTTTAATTGTCGATTTAAGGGTAGGTCTAAAACATTTCAAAGTTTCGAGGCAATAAGCGAACTCGAACTTGGCCTGCGCATGCTTAAATCTTCAGGTTGACAATATACCTCTGCTTTAAAACATGCACAGGACGTCCACAATGTACATGTACATGCACTGTACGTTGTACATACGCACATACATCGTATGTCAGTCAGCCTGCAGCGCTAGCGCACGTGTTGCTGAGGTCAAATCCTGACCACAGTGACCGTTTTAGCCGATTTTCGGCTAACTTTGACAAAACATGCACAAGACGTCCACAATGTACATGTACATGCACTGTACGTTGTACATACGCACATACATCGTATGTCAGTCAGCCCGCAGGGCACGTGTTGCTGAGGTCAAATCCTGACCACAGTGACCGTTTTAGCCGATTTTCGGCTAACTTTGACAGACTTTATGTTCATGCATAGTCAGAGACGTATTATTGATAAAAAAAAATCATAATGCGGAAAAGCCCTATGTTCTGTTGCAAACAGACATAGATCTCTACTTCTTTCTTCTTCTTCTTTTTGTCGCCTAAATCACATAGACTTTGTACACGTTTTATTCTCAGTGCCACTTTTGCCATTAATGTTTGTCATACATCATTCAAAGTAAGCATAGTCATAGTCCTTATAGCAGAGATGTGCCCCGAAGTGTGACGTCATGATGAAGTAATCCTGGGTCACGTGACGTCATCATAAACGTGCATATTTTGAAGTCCTACATCTACAGAACTATAAGTTCGATTGGGTTGTAACTCGGTATGTAGGTAGACCGGGATGTGTTATAGGTAAAACTGAGGTGACGTCATGATGACGTCATCGTTCAATTTTATATGATTTTTTGAATTTTTGGACCTTTAAGCCATATCTCACGAACGCAAGATGCAAAATTCAAAATTCTTTTTGTATTATGTTTGTTAGGTATCACGTATATACATGTACAAAATTTTGAAAAATGTGTGATGCCATCATGACGTCATCAAAAATGTGATTTTTACAAACACATATAAGGAAAAATCCGATCGTCATGAAACTTGTTAGATAGCTAGATAATGGTACTAGAATGCAAAAAATCTGAAATGATGTCACCATGACGTCATCGCATGACTTTGTATGATTTTTTTACTATTTACAATTTCATTCCCCTTCAAAAATTTAACACTTCCTTTCATTGGATTGACTTCAAGCTTGGTACAAACCAAGACCACAATGCAAAAATGTGCATTGACAAGTGTTATCAAGATGACGTCATCGTAAGGCATGTGACGTCATCATAACGGTGCATTTTTCATATTGAGAAAACTATCAGTCCGAATGGTTCAAAATTGCGTATGAAGGGAGGCCGATACGTCTGCTTTAATATGGATTTATTTCTTTTTGATGATATATCTTACAGACGCTACATGCTAAATTAAAACATTCTTGTACCGTATAATTTGAAACAACGTACATGCATAGAGTGTGACATGTTATTGATAAAAAAAAAAGCATAATGCGGAAAAGCCTTATGTTCTGTTTTTGTTTTTAATTTAATGGGAATGGCTTTATTTAAATAAGAAAAAGATTGCTGTCCGAAATAGGAAGCAGGATTTCTCCCGTGGCCTCTGCAGGTCTGTAGCTCCCTCTGTACGCCAAGTGCTGGCCGGTCAACGTGACCGTCGCCCAGCGCCGGCCGGTCAATGCGTGACGGTCCTTCCACGGTGCTGGTGAAATCGTTTGAGCTATGTCTGGCCACACAGCCGGCTTCACAGTCCGTGATTCAGAATGATGTATATTAGTGGAGTGTGCTATTTTTACATAAAATTATTATTTACGAGTTAAGAGGCCTAATGCTAATTAAATCCGAAATCCGTGCATGCGGGCTAAGCCGGCTACTAGTAGCCGAGACATCCGCGTAAGAAACAGAAACAAAAATAAGCTTTAATAGCAGGTGGCCATTGTGCATGTGAGCCACCTAATTATAACTCTCAGGATGAGATCGCCTTGTTTACAAGAAAATGCAATCTTTTTGCATATATTTTCCCATAGGGAACGAGTTGGTTACGGACCGAGTCGGTCATGGACTGAGTTGACTCGAACCGAGTTGGTCACGGACCAAGTTGACCTGAAACCGATGCTATGGCCATAACCGGTAAACCTAGGCACGCAGGGATATGGCTACGAATCACACAATCGCTGAACTTACGCGTACAGCAGCCTATTCCATAGACGTGTGCGTCGTTTCAAACCGTAGCTAGCCGGCCAGAGCTTCACATGTTCGTGTAACTTCTCCATGTTACTCGGTACAGAAAGGGAGCTTGGAGCACCATAGTTCTAGGGATACATGTACGTATAGTTTAGGAACCTCTTCCATATTAGAGAACGAAAAGACACTTTTATGTTTTTGAACTTAGGCCCTGCCTAAATAGTGACCAGCATGAAAAGAAACTTTGTATTTTTATACTTAATTAAAATACCATATTGAATATCAGCAGGCGTAAGTTTGTAGAAAGAGGGCAGGGTTGTTGAGGAAAATTATGTGGTAAAATAATGACAGCGCCTGAGTTGCTGTGACTCGCAAGTCTGTAATTTAAGATTAAGTTTCATTTTACAAAATCACAAAAACCTACAGTTAATCTAAATAAAAAGACTGCTTGCAAAAGTCGTTTTGGGAAATTTGACAGTCATTTGTAAAAGTCATTTTGGAATGGTACAAGTAAAAAAAGGAGGTGTCCTTTTTTTCTTAAATTACATGATTACCGAATTTGTCTTCCTTTATCATTTTAAATCAAATCCTACATTTTAATTGCATAATTTTTCATCATCTTTTCTGATTTGTGGCTCTGGAGCATTTTTCTTGGAAAGAATGTAGTATCCAGACGCCACTTCAGTGGTTGTGTCCAAAGTCTGAGAAGAGTCAAGAATATTGTCAAAGTATTTTCTATAGGGCTGTCCCAAATATATCAAATATTTGAATATTCAATCAGCAACCGAATATTCGAATAGCATTTTGCCCGGTTCAAGTATTCGTGAAAAAAATAAAACAATATAATTGCCGCACTAATTCCTTGGTATACCGTAACAAAGGTACTACATGTGCCTTTTGCTTTTAGAAGAGAGCTATTATGTCATCAAAATAATAAGTCCTTCATGCATGTTCCATGGTGGTATAAGGGTCGGAGAGTCACATTGGTTGACACCACCCGTTGTGTTCCCTGCAAACAAGAAATCATCACTGTCTCCACCTCTCTTTCCGATGATTCAAATAAATAACCCAAACCTCGCCTACAACTAGTACATTTATACTCACCCCCCAAAAAGTGAAATCCGTACTGAGTTCATCTTTACTGTTCAATTAAATAAACAAAAAAAACGTGACTACATGTATACGGTAATACTGCACTACCAGATGCCACTTTTGTCAATGGCATTTTTTTGGGGGGGGGGGGGTCATCGGCAGTTCATTGTTCCCATCCTTTGAGCAGGTTAAAGCCCATGATTGGCAAGTTTCGAATATTCGGTCAAATGCAGTTTCGAGTATCAAATACTAAATTATTTGAAAAGGAACAGCCCTAATTTTCTAACAAAATTGGAAATCTATCACAGTCCTAGAATCATATCTTTTCATCGTTTCCACAATGACTGACCTTCATTGAGATGATGTATCGTCGTGTGCCAAGGAAAAGGACGTAAGCAGCCCAGCTAGTGTTCGCATTTTCCTTAATGTATGCATTCCTTGCTTTTTGGGAGGACCATCTGACGTGTTTGGATATTAGATGATATGGCACCAAAGCGTTCGAAGCTGCTGAAGCGCCTCCAGATCTGAAACTATGGAGTCTGAATTTGCTGATATCAGGAGCAAAGGGGCGAAGTGCTTGTAAAACAATTTCGCGGGTCCTGGTGTAGCTTAAGCCGTGAACGGTGGCTACCATGCCCTTGGCTGATCTTGTAATTTGACGTACAACTGGTAGTGATGAATCTACCGGGTCACCTATGGCAGAGAAATACCTCTCAGCAATTTTGACTGGGCGTGTAGGAGTTAAAGTTCTGCCGATGAGTATGTCTGCTCCTTGGCGGAATTGGTCAGTTTTAGATTGGTTGAGATGAATGACTAACCGATTGTTGGTAATTTTACAGTCTACATGCCGGACATTATTGAGATCGCTGAAACGAAGAAATCCAGCGTAGCAGATGAAACAAATAAACAGCACCCGCAGGTCAGCAAGAGTAGCAGACAAGTGTCCATGTGCATGGAATAGTTGTGTCATGACGGCTGGTGAAACAGCTTCTTGCCGATTTGGGGTTGAAGCCAGAGAACGTTTGTAACCTTGAAGTGTCATCTGAACGAGAGGGTCGTCGGTGGGCAAGGGAAGACCGGCTAGACTGTGGGCCCATTTGACAGCGGCTGCCGTGGAATCGGCAGTAGACTTGTGCTTGCTTGGGAGCAGCGATGTGAAGTACAAGCAGAGATCGATGGGTCGAACTGGGAAGACGGTAACTCCGGTCTTGGATGACGCCCAGGCTTCCCAACGTTACCAGGCTGAACTGTAGACTTTGGTGGTGGATGGGGCTTTCGCCGAGAGGAGTAGGGAAGGTATAGGATGTCTGGCCAATAGTTGCATTTCCGGGTCGTCAATACCCTGAGAAATTCTGTTCCAAATATCTGAAATAACAACAAGAATAAAAACAGCACAAACAGCTGGAAAAACTGGAAAATCCAGATTGACAATTGTTCAATTGAAAACCATTACCAGGCGCTAAGAGCCCCTTAGACTTGACACAAAGGTCAAAGTAGAAGCAGCGTCAGTTCGGCGCCCAACACCGACAGTGGCCACGTAAAACCCCCAACGTGGGAGGAACCGTGGGCGCGACCCGAGTGTTAGACAAAGGTCGCTCACCCTTGCTCCAAATGACACTGTGTACTGATGCCAAAGCAGGCGGGAGGGTTGGGGAGAGCGAGATAAGGTTGGTGAACCGAGAATGAAGTTGAATAGGCAACTTGGCATTTATAAGAAACAGCTTCACAAAGAGTTACGTAATAAAGCGCGCATGGAATTTGCGAGCTGCACCTGTCTTTCGATAACGTAAAGAAAAGTCACTTTCTTTCTTCATTCTTTTCTTTACTATATCTTCATCATGTGAAGAGTAATAAGAACACAAGTACACAATTTTGGAGTACTATTGGTAGGAAGTGCCGCCTACCTCGCTGAGAACGCCAAACAAGGGGGAAAGGAGAAACCCTATGGGATATCAAAACAATACAAAAATGTAATATACTACACACAATGCAATCAGACCACTAAACGGGTCACAGTATTGAGTAGAACTGTACCAACAATGATAAACCATACTTTTACACTTGATGCTCGCAAATTGGCATCGACCAGGAATGGCCGCGTGAACAAAATTGCGGAACGAAGTCCGCTTTAATAAAAAAACAGTACTCACAGGCGAAAGTCGCGCTGAGGGCAAGTGCCTGTGTGTGGACCTAATGAAGGGTCAAAACGAATTACTATAGAGGCGAATGATGGGGTTTGGCAAAACACTGAACTTGTGCCCAAGGAAGACGGACTGAATGAAATATTCATCCATCTCCAATCGACCACCCTACTATGGAAATGTATGCCATCTGGGCAAATGATTGGCCAAAAGGAAGACGTGGGCCAGTGTGGTACGACTAAAGTGCCGGTGTAGCTCCCTCTGTACGCCCAGCGCTTGTCAGAGAGAATTCTTTTGAATACCTGTATAATCAAGGATACTGGAGGACAAAAATAATTATTTTCGCCCAACCAATTCTGAGAAATGCATTGACTCCAGCCATGCCTTTACACCAAAACCTGCAGTTAAACCGCATCAATTTAGCGTTATGAGGTGATGCGAAACGGTCAATAGTGCGAGGACCCCACGGACTATCTATAAACCAAAATGATCCCCGGTCCAAGTCTCGAAATCGATTGATTTCATCGGCAAGTTTGTTTTTGTTTCTAGGTAACCATTCGGGTAACAAAACACAATTGAGTTCATCGGCCATATGAAATATTGATTTTGCGAGTTCATGCAAGTCGGGTTTGGGGCTGCCACACTGAATGATAATTGGGACACTGGAATTGTCGGTAAACCATTTGACGTTCTTGCCTGTCACTGCTTTTTGCAACTGCTTAAGTACATGACTTACTGCGGCTAGTTCGCGCCAAGTGGAACTTTTTTGTTGCTCTACTGGGGACCAGGTACCGTGTACTTTAAAGTAAGGACAGGAACAGGACCGGAAATCTTGATGATAGGTGTACCCGCTGTAGGGACGAAAAGAACTCGCAGCAGGGTAAGGACGTACAGCATTGCGAGTCTTGGTCTTGGACTTCTTAGCGGCTTCTGCCTTCTTGCTGGTCACCATTTTCTCCGCCGTTCTGAGTCGTTTCTCATCATTTGAGTCATCGGCTATATTGTCAGTGACGTATTCTTTAACCGTGGCCCAGCCTTGGGAGGAATGATCGGCCAACTTGATCAGCTTCTGCCGCTGTTTGATTTCTGTGCTGGCTTGTTTGAGGGCCTCTTTGGCTGCGTTAGTGTCGCCCGCGTCTAACGATGCCAAGGTGGAGTCAATTAGGCTGGGGAGCTTTTCTTTGTGGTGATACTAGTTCTTGTTACGGTCGCTTTTAAAGTCTGGTGGGCTATCGGCAATGGTACGCTGCCTCTTAAAGGCTTAATCTACTATACCATCTATCGAGTTAGCCAGCGATCTGATGGCCGAAAGTATCTATTGATTTGCATTATCAGGGTTAGGATTCATATTGCACGGAGCACAAATGCGTATGTCAGGGAGATAAGGTTGCTCAACCGAGAATGAAGTTGAATAGGCAACTTGGCATTTATAAGAAACCGCTTCACAAAGACTTACGTAACAAAGCGAGTCTTATCTTATGATAACGTAAAGAAAAGTCACTTTCTCAGTATTGTGAGCAATGCACCACTGCATGCTAAGAAAATCTTGAAAAGTTTTTCCCTGAATCTGTAATCTAGTCTGTGGAAGCTACTTACCTACATGTAGGTAGCCTAGGCATGCTAGGTAAATTCTTTAAAGGGAATATACAACATTTGCAAACATCGAAAAATAGAACTACCAAGTTTTTACGAAATACCTTACTAGGATGTTGGTAAATGACAGTCTAAAGCATCCTGTAAAATTATGGCACCTGGTGTGAAGTCATTTTCAAGAAAATGGTATTTTTGTATAAATTTCCAACGGTGACCTGCCGACCAGCGTTGGAAAAACCTAACTATTTTTCAACTTCTCCTCTAAATTCACCATTTTTTTCAGTCCAAATTTTGTTTGCTATTGGTTACATGTTTATGAACGGGTGCAGGCCAGGTAGACTGGTTCCCTTACCTTACAATTTTCTGGCATCTATAAATTGATCCATTTTATCTTTAGTGGAGTCAGGGAACCAGACTACTCCACCATTTGTGTTTTTCTTGGTTTTTCAGCATTTTTGAACACAAAACTTCAAACATGTCAGTGTAACAATATTTGATCTATTATAGTAACCCCTCAAATATTTCATTTCTGAAAAATTACAGCAAAAGCCAATGATGTACATTCCCTTTAAATAAGGTCAAAGTAGTCCGAGTAAATGAACTAGTCTACTCCTAGGACTCTACAAGTACAACACCTTTTTTTTTAAACATTTGGTCACTATTTGGCAATAGTGATCAAATCTTTAAAAAGTTTGTAAAGTCCTAGTTTGGCTAAGGCCAAAGACAATCATCATACTCCGACACCATATGTTAATGATCTTACTTCTGAGTGATGATATGGATGTATTCGATAATGATGTGAGGCATTATTTGAATGGGATCCTATTCACAATAATTTTGTCAGAAAACACTAAGCCCATTAAACAGAACATGCAAATTAGTTACAAGATGAAAACAGTTCATTTTAATGTTACATTGTAATCAGGAATTGGCACAATTCGATGTTAAAGTTAAAAAATATTGTATATCCTGAAATTTCAATGTTAACGATAGGTAGATCATTTGTCATTTGTGCATTTTTTTCGTTTGATTCAACTACCGCTGGGCGAGTAACTTGATTACTCGAATACTCTCGAGTAGTTTATGCTATTGTTTGTGCTATTTTGTTCAGAAAAGAGACTTACAATCACTATGTCTGTATGTATGTTTGTATGTATGTGGTATTTTGGTTAAAGTTTCAAGGAATTACATGTATGCACTCTCATTTCTCAAGTTTGTCTTTGATTTCCATCAAATAGATGTATTGTGGAAGCCTCCAAGTAATGCTGATTTTTAAGGTCACATATAGTCAGGGCAAAGGTCATCTGAGTTCAAGTTGTAAAATAGGCTGGAAATGTAAAATTGGTCTCATTTGAAAAGTTGAACTCCAATTGCAACCAAGCTTGAATCATAGATGCAACATGGGAACCGTCATATTATAATGATACCAAGGTCAAGGGTCATCTGAGGTGAAGTTGTAAAATAGCTGAAAATGTTAAATTGGTCTCATTTAAAAAGTGGAAGTTCAATTGAGCATTACTTTAATTCTATTTTTGCTGTACAGTTTAATCTTTCCCAAGCATTTCTGACTGTTGCTCAAAGCAACAGGGAAATAAATTGATTTGAGGCTTTTGTACATAAGCCTGGGAAAACAGTCATGTAGTGAGGGGGAACGCAATCTTTTTTTTCAGACACATTTGAAACACTACCTGACTTACCTCTACCCCATTGCCATATGGGAGGGGGGGGGGGGGGTTGCTAGTGCTGGAGTCTGGTTCCCGGTCATTCCATTGCCATTCACACTATTATCTACATAGCGGCAGGAACTTGTTTATCTTGAATGCTTTCAGTGTACCACACTGCAAGGAAAATGTTCTGAACGGCGTTAAAAAATGGACTACTGACTCGCATTTGGCAAACAGACTACGGCTAAGAAAAACCCTAGGGTTTCCCTCTATTGTTTGAGGTTCCCAGAGTGTAGCACGGTGATATGACATGCTTTGTGATAACAAAGATGGATATTAGTTCAATGGGGTATATGTGAAAAGGCTAATCCCTGGGGTTATGGCCTGGCGATAAGTGAATCTTCCAAAATGTTTGCATACTTGGCAAAATATGTGATGGTTTTCCTTTCTTCTCCTGAACTGTTTTAAATTATTTCAAAACTAATATACATGTAGTAATAATGATGTGACAACCATGTCTAGAATCCACAGTTGAATGGAAAAATTGTTCAAGCGACACTCGTGCATACTGTTTGTAAGTAAAATTTTGCAAGGCTACCACTTGTCCCAGTACATGTCCCATGTAGAAGGGGCATATTGATTTTGGCGAGGTGGTATGCTGAAAATGTTTATTGTACACAATATAGGATTTAGTTTAGACAGTTACTAGGGCATTTAAAAATGTCTAATTTATCTCCACAGCATATGATCGAGTAGTAACATGACGAAGGCGCTCCAGTTTGTAAATTAAATAGGTTTAAATACAGGCAGTGATTACTGTTGAAAAAGACTGAAGTGCAGATCACCTAAATACCTAAATAGGTCCAAATTAAAACAAAACAAAACAATAGAATGCTGTTTGAAATATGTAGGAAAGTTTGCAAAGATTTCAGCTATCTCGTTAAATGACAAACTTTTAAACCTCACATTCATATTCTAGCAGCAACCAAAATTGCTCTTCAAAAGTATAGTGGAATACATCTACTTTTGCCTTTTCATTGTTTTCATGTTATTTCACTTTTGATTTTGAATTTCAGTAAGAATAACTACTTCAGTGGACAATACAAAGAGTACAATGTTGGAATTGAATTTGAAAGCCTCATTGAAGACGTAAGTATTAAACTTGAATATTTTGAACATGTTTTGCATTACGTTGTTATTATGCTCACACTTACTATACAAAAACTGTTTTAGTTATCTCACGAGCATAAACGGAACACGGAATAATGTAGTGTGTCCAATATATGCAAAGGCTACAGGCTATGTGTTATACAGGGTGAGTAAAAAACAGGGAAACCCAAATATCAGGACCATTTTTGTCTCGCAAAAGAGACTATTGTCGCGTCAGTGCAACAAGGTCTTAACTCGATTCTACAACAAAGTCGTATCTCGCTCAAATACGCTCCGTGCAACAAGGTCCATTAGCTTTGCGTGTTCATCCGGGTTATTTTAAGCAAGATACGACCTTTTGACATTCTAAAACTCACGTTTTGCATTTATGCCATTTTAGGAGATACGAACTTGTTGCATTGACGCGACGCAATGCAGTCACTTTATCTGTACGTAGAGTACATGTACATGTATGTGGTATTTTTGGTTAAAGTTTCGTAAAATTGGTCTCATTGCAAAGTTGAAGTTCAATTGGAACTAAACTTGGGTCAAAGATGCAACATGGCAACCTTCATATGATAATGAAATCAAAGGTCACATACCAAGGTCAAAGGTCATCTGAGGTCAAGTTGTAAAATAGGCGGAAAATCTTAAATTGGTCACATTTGAAACGTTGGAGTCCAATTGGAACCAAACTTGGGTCACAGATGCAACATGGCAACCTTCATACTGATTAGTCGCGAAAGCAGGCGAGACGCTAGCCCAGGTTGGACGAAGTCTTCATTGCAATACGACTAACGTCCAGGACAAGACTTTTCTACATGAAACCATACAACATTTTTACCAGAGTTTTGTTATGTTTTACCTCGTTATAGAAGCTAATATTTCACGCCTACATACTCTATGTGTCCTTATCTGTTAGCACGCTGGGTTCAGGAATTCCATATGCGATGCTGACTGACGTTAATCAGGAAAATAAACTCCAAAGCAACGTTAAACTTGTACGTGTTTGTAGTCGCTTTTCATCAGTTTATTCCCAGAGTCGTACGTCATGTACAATGTACATGATATGTACAAATGTACGTGCGCGCACGCACGCTAAGCGCCCTCATTTGTTTAGTTTTGGTTGGAACCGTGACGTCACTCCAGCCAACCGATGTCAGGAAAACGCTCAACCAATGACCAAAGCCGAAACGTGTTTCTGGTAACTGGCGCGAAAACACGCTCGGTCATTGGATTAGCGACCGCACCTTCAAGTAAGTGCGCGTGCGTATGAGGGTGGTTACTAAGCAAATCGCGCGTGCGCACTGCATATTCATGCAGCATAGTCTGTCCCCCGGACCAGATGTGATAATGAGCGTCGAGAATAATTGTCCGGTCTAGGGAACCAGACTACACGCTGCACCGTACAAGACGTACATGATGTACGACTATGGGCAAGTTCGCCCAAGGACTATAGTTAACCATTGGTCGACTAACGCTTGCCCGAACTCTGTCTAGTCGACTATTTGGAACCAACCTACCGGGGTTGGGACCAGATGTGATAATGAGCGTCGAGAATAATTGTCCGGTCTAGGGAACCAGACTACACGCTGCACCGTACAAGACGTACATGATGTACGACTATGGGCAAGTTCGCCCAAGGACTATAGTTAACCATTGGTCGACTAACGCTTGCCCGAACTCTGTCTAGTCGACTATTTGGAACCAACCTACCGGGGTTGGTTGCTTCGCTGGTAACCATAGCCGCGCGCATTCATTACGTACAGCAGGGAGCCAGGATCTAGACGTTTTGCAATGACATTTTGACCAGCGTTCGACTAGAGACGTTCGCACTTTGCTATTAGTGCGCAGGCGTAAGGTACGTCACAAATCAACCACTAGTCGACTAATGGTCCTTGCCCGAACTTGGCCTAGAATAGACTCGGCGGTGAGAAACTGATGAAAAGAGACTAAACACGTACAAGTTTAACGATGCTTTCGAGTTTATTTTCCTGATTGACGTCAGTCAGCATCGCATATGGAATTCCTGAACCCAGCGTACTAACAGATAAGGACACATAGAATACTACAACGTAAAAATTAGCTTCTCCAACAAGGTAAAAATATTGAAATTATTGGTCAGAAATGTTTTCGTTCGGTTGTGAGCACATGTGTACTCAGGACTCCCTCCGTAACGTAGGGAGGAAAGGGAGTCCACCAGGGCTAGCGAGACGCATGGTTGGAGAACCATCTTGTTTTAATGAAGTTCTGCATGTAGCACTTTCAAAATCTAGGATATGAAAGCCCATTTAATAAGCTTTCTTTTAGTACAAGAATTATTCGAATCACTCATGTACTTTTCAAGGTAAGGAATTTTGATCACAAACACCGTTTTAAAGTTCTGTCCATGGATCACGAAAAAGGTAAGTGTTCTTTTAGCAAAACGAAAACAATTCACATACATCCCTATGTGAATTGTTTTCATTTTGCTGAAAAAGACTTCCTTTTTTGTGATTAGTGGACAGAACTTTACAGCGGTGTTTGTGTTCAACATTCTGTAACTATTTGAATGATTATTATACTGAAAGAAAACTTATTAACCCTCCATTGAAAACATGCATTCTGAGCCATGCTTTTACTGGGTCAATATTGGTCAAGTGACCCATTGGTTTGTTAAAAGTATACCAGGGAAAGTGGAGGGACATTTTGACCATTTGTGACCTTTCAAACAGCAGGGCTTTCATATCCCAGATTTGGAAAGAACTACATGTAGAACGTCATTAAAAAAATTGGTCCTGCCATTAGGGTTTCCTTTTTTTTTTGACTCACCCTGTATGGAACACAGACGCACTTCATTTTCTGTGCCCCAGGAGTACAAGTGGGATAATGAAGTTATCATCAAGTAAACTTGATGCACAATAAAGTTGCAATGTTCTCTGTGGTACACAGAGTATAAATTTACGTGCTGCAGGAATGTGCTTCTTAGAATAGTGCATGATACATGCTGTTCATTGTAGACTATGCAATATTGGATATTATTATTTATATCGGGCTTCCAGCGGCAAAAATAAATCAGAATATCGTATGCTTTTGTAAAAAGTACCCAGATGACAGCAAAATTATGTCAGTAAAAGTACCCAGATTTTGGACAATATTACTTTTGATATTGCCCTCATCCGGGCATTTTTGCTGATTCCCGCACAATCAAGAGCGTAGAAACTCACAGTTGTCAACCAGTCAACAGAGCGTAGCACACAGTACCGTCGCATGCGGACGCACACGCAGCGCACAGCAAGGAATACGCACACTGTTGTCAACAACCACAATGGCAGCTTCAAGCGGCGCAAAAGTTGTTTTGGTAAGTGAAGAATAATTCAACAAAATATGGGAAATGAAGACAGTGTCCTGAAATGTATTTCTTGCGAAGCAAATCAGCCTGATATAAAATAATAATAATAATAATGGATGGCTTTTTGGGGGATACAAGAATATATTGCACTCTCTATGACAAGATTGCAAAAGTCGAATTATAGCTCGTGCAATATATTCTTGTGTCTCCCTCAAAGCCATCCAATATTTTATCATCATTATCGGACTCCGAGTAGTAAAAAAAAAAATCAGTGTATTACATGTATGTGCTTAAATACCCAGATAATTATATGCAACATTTTTTTATCATTGCATAGACATCTGGGCATTTTATTGTATTGACACGTATTTTGCTGGTTCCTGCTCAATTAAGATCGTAGAAACTGAACAGTTTTCAACCAGTCAGTGGAGTGTAGCAGTCACATAGAAGCATTCACTGTTTGTAAACAAAACTGGCAGCTTCCAGGGGCATGAGATTCGCTTTGGTAAGCGAAGAAGAATTAGACAAAATTTTGAGGAAAAAAACAAAGATGCCGAAATACCTTGAAAAGAGGCAGTTGTTTTTTCTCCATATGTATCTGGCTAAGAAGAATATACCAATGGACTTTGAGACAATGGATTTATAAGCTTAATCTAACAGGTATGTTGTCAAAGTTCTACGTGGAACTAGTTGTTAAGCCCCAGTTATTTCTTTCGGATCAAGTCAGCCTGATGTAAATAATAATAATATTTAATGGCTTTTTTTTCTGGGGATACTTAAATAATATTGGTTGGCTTTGAGGGGGATACAAAAATATATTGCATGAGCTACTGTTTACTTCGTTTGTACTGCATATAAATTAACTCATATACTCTGCATTACGTGTAAAGTACCTCATATACACCGCGTTGCATTATTGCCCTTGTGTTGCGCGTGCGTTACGCGCCTCTCGTGATTGATAACAGCTGCAACCGATTAGTCTCATGTCAGGCAGGAAAGCAAAATGGTTCACTGCAGTGATATAATTATTTCTTCCTACAGTTACAAAACAATTGTTGACTGCTGTGATGTGGGATATGGCGTTGTTTTTTTTTAACCCCCTTGGGGCGCATAGCACCCTCAACTTCGCCTCGAGTACCTTTCGCCCCTCTAGTGTGTAAACACACTATATCCCATATCAAAGCAGTCAACAATTGGTTTATTGCTTTCTGTTTTGGGGTGTCAAAAAATGTGCATTAGTGTTCTTTTTAGCTGTTTCGGTGTACACACCGAAACAGCTCTCTTTTTTTCCCCACTTTTTTTTTCCATAGGATAACACGTATTTTCATTTTACACAGGACTTTGGGACTTTTTTCACATCCGATCTACTTTAAACCTGCCACACACTTAGACCACCATCTGAAGATTCAGGCCGAATCATGACGTCATCGTGACGTCATCACGTGTCACGTGACGTCATCCTAAAAGTGCATATTTTAAGGCCCTACATGTATATCTACAGAATCGGAGTCTGATCGGGTTCAAACTCGGTATGCAGTTATTGTGGGATGTGTTATAGACAAAAATTGCAGTGACGTCACGATGGCGTTGTCATGTGATTTTACATTAATTATTCAATTTATGGACCTTTTTACTCATATCTCATCAACGGAACGTGCTTAATTCGAAATTCTTTTTGTAAAAGGTTTGTTAGGTCCTAGACAGATGCAAAAATTTGTGAAACATGTTACGTTATCATGACGTCATCAAAAACTTGATATTTTTTTATTCACATATTATGTAAGGGTACGTCTGATCGTTATGAAACTTGGTGGTTAGGTACATGTAGGTTGAGATAAAAGCATTCAAAATCTGAAGTGACGTCATCATGACGTCATCATCTGATTTTTTATTAGTTTTTTTAAATTTTGATATTTTCTTCTTATTACCAACAATTACATAAAATACGATCCAATCAACTTCAAACCTGGCACACACTTAGACCACCATCTGAAGATTCAGGCCTAATCATGACGTCATGATAACGTCATCATGTGTCACGTGACGTCATCCTAAATGTGCATATTTTAAGGCCCTATATCTACAGAACTGGAAGTCCGATCGGGTTCAAACTCGGTATGCAGGTATTCCGGGACGTGTTATAGACAAAAATTGCAGTGAGGTCACAATGACGCCATCGTGTGATTTTATAAGTTATTCAATTTTTTTGCCCTTTTAGTCATATCTCATCAACGGAACGTGGTAAATTCAAAATTCTTTTTAATAAAAATTTCGAAAATTGTGTGATTTCATCATGACGTCGTCAAACGTGACGTTTTAAACACATGTAAGGGTTATGTTCGATCGTTATCGAACTTGGTGGGTAGGTACCCGGTAGGTAATGATAATAGTATTTAAAATCTGAAGTGACGTCATCATGAGGTCATTATCTGATTTTTCATTAATTTTTAAAATGTTAACATTTTCTTCTAATTACAAAAAAATTACAAATAATACGATCAGATTGACTTCAAAGTACATGTAGGCACAGAATAAGACCCTAAGATTGTATTTTTTCTAAACATACGTTGTGATGACGTCATCGTTAGTCCTATGACGTCATCTACATTTTGCTCATGTATAACACCAAATTCACTTCTATACCGCCTGATATTTTTAGGAGAATTCACATGTACATGTAGGCCTACATTCGACTTGAATGAAACTCATCCGTTGCAGTTGTTGCTAAAACATTCGAAACAGCTCAGTGTTTATCCACAAACACATTTCTAGTTTTACTTATTACTATGTTAATCTTAACCAAATAGGGATTTTCTCCTTTTTTTTTTTTACAGAAATTGTAGCATTTCTTAAATGAATGTGTGCATGATTTGGATTTGAAATTTCATTCAAACATAAAGTATGTATATTGTTATCATGCCAGGATAATTTCAGACCTGTTCACCCTGTTGATAGCTCTAGATTGAATGTGTGTTTTCTTCTTGACAGGAATTAGCTCAGCAGTCCGAGCTGGCAACAGTAACTGACAGGGAGAGGGACCATCTACTTAATAAGAGATATAGTGATCTGATAAAGGACCAGAAGAAAAGAGATGCAGAAATTGATGCAGAGGTCAGTGAAATTTCCAGCTATGCATTTCACTGCAGTGTTGTAGTCGAGTACTTTTTTCGGAGTACCGACTACCGCCGAGTACTTAGGTTACTGGGTACGAGTACGAGTACTTGTATTCCGAGTACGAGTACAACTCCGAAATGGTTCATTGTGCGTAATTGGCCCAGGCCCAGTCAGATCGATATAAAGACCCACTCACGACTAGCTGTTAAAGATGTTTGTCCGGACGTGCACAGAGGAAAATTAGGAAACTTTGATTTTTCCACAAGCCAATCAACCATTTCAAACTGAAAGTATCAATAAAATAAGGCCGTGGTAAGCCAAGCTATACCATTTTTACGCCTCAGCCTAGAGGCTCGAGGGGTATTGTCATCGCCTAGGGTGTCCATCCGGCGGGCCGTATGTCCGTTCTGACCAGACCACCCTTGTGGGGTGATGTTCCTTTCAGGACACATCACCCCACTTTTTACACAATGGAAAAACATCACCCCAGAAGGGAATCTTTAGAAAAAGGGATAATGGGAACACAATGCTATCACCCCACAAGTCCGTCTGGCTAGAACGTCCGTCCGTCCGCCCTTACTGTGGACCACTTGCAGGGTACCTGTCCTTTGTTCGAGGTACCCCACCAATAAATTTTTTAGAAAAAAGGGTATCCCGCAACAAAATCTTTGGAAATAGGGACAATGGGACAACAATGGAGGTACCCTGGAAGTCCATCTGGCTGGGATGTCCGTCCGGGCAGCTTAGTTTCCGGGTGATAACTTGAGTTAGAAATGAGATTTTGGTGTTTTACTTTGGTAGGGGGTTGCCCTGGGGAGTAGGCAAGTTGGGATTGGTTTTGGGTTCAAAAGGTCAAGGTCACCGTGGTGAGTTAAAGGTAAATGGTTTCCGGATGATAACTTGAGTAAGAAATGAAATTTTTTTGTCTAACTTTGGTAGGGTGTTTCCCATTGGTACAGGCATGTTTGGACTGGTTCTGGGGTCAAAGGCCAAAGGTCAAGGTCCCCATGTTTAGTTAAAGGTAAATGGTTTCAGGATGATAACTTGACTCTGGCTGTGGGGTTTTGAACAGCAACGCTGTTATTTTTTTTCGAGTACTGCTATTTCAGTACGAGTACTTTGATGATCGAGTACAATTTCGACATGTCGAGTACGAGTACTTTGCTGCCCGAGTACGAGTACCGTCATTTCGTACGCGTACTTTGACATTCGAGTACGAGTACGAGTACTCTTAGAAAGAGTACTCGAGTAGTACTCGAGTACGAGTACCGAGTACGAGTAATACAACACTGTTTCACTGTGTGGTCACCTACATGTACAGAGTTAAGTTTTTCACACTGATAGTTCATATTCAGGAGGGGGGACGGGCGACATTTTTGTCCCTAAATAATTGTCCACTAATTAATTAATTGGTTACATTCACTTTACATCCTGCAGCATGTAGAGGTATGAAGCAACATGGCACTGCAGCCAGTGCCTGGGCCATGGTAGGCCCAAGGCACTGCAGCCAGTGCCTGGGCCATGGTAGGCCCATTGCATAAACATCATAAAAAGGGTCCTATCTAGTGCTGCAGCCAAACCGCCCAACCAAACCAAACTTCACCAAACATAGCACTTCCGAACCAAACCAAACCAAACCAAACTGAATTGTTCAGTTCGGATGTTTGGAAACGCAATTTTTAGTGCTACGTAATATACATGTAGGTGTCATTGCCAAACTGTTTCCCGGTAGGGGTGTGCATTTACAGGTAGTACGGGAACCGGGTACCCGATTGAAAAAAAAAAAAAACCACGGGTACCCAGGTACCTGATAAAGAAACCCAACCCCAACATTCAAATCTCAAAAGTCGCTGTTCAGATTATTCATAAATGTCCCCACGATAATACTACCACATCGGTGTGTCAATACAGCAAAATACAAACTGTGTACAGTGAGCTTTATACCTTAACCTTAACTTTTGCAAGCGTCATAAAAATGTTTTCCCATGTTGCCTAGTTTTTATTTTGAAAATTCCCCACAAATGATATGTCACATTGAAAAATAAGTTTCAGAGATACTAAACAAAGCAGCCAGAGTTTTTAGACCCAATGATCAGGGGTAATAATAAAGCGCTTAGATCTTAGTTAAAAGCGCTATAGAAGAACCTGTTATTATTAAGCAGAACGTAAAAGGCCTCACGGCGCAGCTTCCGGAACCCTCACGCTGCCCACCTATAAGCATTTTACACTGCGTTGCCCTTTTTCTTGCTATAATTTTTGGCAGAATGTCTTCTAAACATTTATATTGGAATTTTATCTTGGCATTCTTAAAAAAAAATTGATGAAACATCACTTTAGATAGGCAAAAATGAATTTCATGTACGACCTTTCACATCCGGCATTTTAGTTCTTAGGTGTCTTTGTTCGTTTGCGTTTGTTTTTACATCACGTACTTGCATGAGAATGAGAATGTATAACGACGCCTACCTTCAGCCGATGGGTTCTGGAGTTAATCGGGCTGGCTTGACTGCAATCCTTAGCAGCGGTCACATTAGATTTTTTCGTAAATGCTTATAAGTCTGTTAAGTTTAACTTTAAGTTTTCACCAAATGACCACCAAAAAAATTATTTCATAATTTATCAGTTTTGGGGGTGATTTTCTTAAGAAATCAATGTACCAAAACAAAATTGCGAAGTTAAGAATCTTTGTATGTTTATTTAAAGTTTACCAGAGGTGAACTTTCAGGCTCTATTTTCATTCTTAAGCATGGGATTTTAATGGACAGTTTTGCCCACAACACTCTCACAAAATAGCAAACTTTTGTTAAATACTTGATAACGTCCAACAAATTAACATTAACAACTATGTTACATATGACCAACCTGTCTTTGTATTGTTCATAATTAATTATTAAAAAAAAAGAGGAAATCCTGATCAACTGACCCTCCTGAATTTTTTGAGGGCAACACAGAATGTTTGTTCTTGGCCTAAGGGAATCCCTTTTCTTTGGTTCTCATTTCTGACTGACCCTTAACAATTGTTTATTATTACCACACAGGGTTGGCGATTTTTTAGATTTTTAAATTTTTAAAAAAAAAAATCAGATTTATTTGATTGAAATCAGATTTTGTTGATTGAAATCAGATTTTTAATATTTTTTTTAACTTTCAAAATATTGATATACGGTCTAAACATGAGTCTAAATCTCCCCAGGATGCACCCTCACACCCATCACAAAAGAGTTTACATGTTCCTATAATACCCATCATCCACAAAACTCAATAAATTGATAAATGCTTTTGAAAAAAATTGTATTGAATCAGTGATTAAAAAAAATTACTTGATTTCTTCTACATGTAGTCTTCATCATTGGTTCAATGGTACATTAATACTGAAGACACCTTAAAGGTGCATTGCTTGATTGATACAGCTGAGATACGTTGTGTGTGGATATGAATAAAAACTTGATTTATGGCACCCGGTACATGGTATACAAAAAAAATACGACAGTTCTCCATGGGCATGTTGATTTCATAAAAAAGGTTCTAATTTCAAAACCGGAGGCACTGATCCTTGTGTAACTTACAGTGTTTGATTGATGGTCCAAGGTGGAGAACAGAAATCAGGCCTTGCACCTTTTTTATATAAATCTCAATCTAAATTTGTAGGGAGAAACGTTAGGAATAAGACTATCAATTGGGACTTTTAATACACCTTTTTGATGGTTCATGTCAGCCTACACCAGCACAGTTGATTCACAATATTGTTGTAAACAGATCAAGGAATGGTTAAAGCAAACATGAGTGTGCTCTCTAATTAAAAACCTTGAAGAAAAACTTTAAACTCAGATTTGACTTTATCAAAACAACAATTTTGTGTAATTATGCAAAACCTAAATTGAGTCGATGGTGATGAAGTAGGGGTGTGTGAATGTGTTAACAACATCTTACACTTTGTAATTAAGTTTAATCAGTTGATTTAAATGATTAAAATGACCCTCAATCAATTGATTTTGCCAAAAAAAAGATTTTTACTACAAAAACAGTGATTTAAATCAGTGATTTTTATTAAAAAAAAATCATTTGATTTAAATCGCAATTTAAATTAGTGATTTAATTCAAAGTGATTTAAATCAGCCAACCCTGTTACCACAAGCCTGTCTGGAAGCCCAACTAACAAAATAATTAATTAATGAAAAAATATATATATGCATACTGTGTATAAGGCAATCAGGCTCTGTGTTATTTGAAAAGCTATGGAAAATAACACCTGATTTTACTGGAAGCACAACGTATAGCAACCAGTGCAATCCCATAAGGTGCGAGGGTGTTGCCTCTCGCTATCATATCAGGGGTCTATAGTTTAGGCGCATGCATCGCCATAGCCATGCGCGTGGGCAATTTTGTTCAATGTAAGATGATGTCTCAAAGCCGCCAAACTCACTGGTTTGACTGGAATCCTGCTGCTGCACAATTTTAACGTGTTTTTAGATGGGGTTTTGATCGAGTATAAGCTTTTGTGGCGTCTCTGGGTTCCCATATATTTTGCATTAAAATTTAGTCGGGCACCATTTGCAGACGGTGTTGTAATTTTGTAATTGTGCATCTGGAAGCCAAACTGAGGAAGCGATGGTCGTGTATCTGGAACCTTTACGCTTTTTAATTAGCGCAAAATGTAAGGGAGCAGACTAATGACCAGCCTGGCAGCACATTCATGATGTCAATGTCGCTGTATGGTCTGACGTTACCGTTTTCTCTGATTTTTGTCTTGACAAATTTCCCGAAGAATGTTCGTGTCGGTCGAGATCGTAAGTGGGTGCAGAATTCTCAAGCCTTATGGCCTTATGGCCTTACTGAGGTCCCCTCAAGCTCCACCCTGAAGGATATTTTTGAGAGTTTTATGGGGATCGAAGCCTCATCTGCAACATCAGCCAACATTTGAAGAAGAAAAAAAGTAGGGGACAAAAAAAAAAAAAGTGTCGCCGCCCCACTTTTGGGGCAAGCTCCATACCAGAAACCGGAGACTTTTTTTTTTTGCCTTACTTTCGTTTTTTTTTCCCGTGTGCACCTTCATATTTTTTTCATTCAGATTTTTATTTTTTGCCGACCAACCAGCCCTAATTCAGAGGCAAATGCCCTAATGGTGATGATGTCTGTATATTGCTTTAAATATGTGTACATATATGCATTACAGCTGAAGAAACAAGAGGAAAACATCCGGCTTGAAGAAGAGGCCTACATGGCAGCTAAACAAGAAGCTGCAAGAGCAGCTAACCAAACAAGGGCCCTTGATCAGCGGAGGAGTAAACCTGTAGCTAATGGCGTCTCCAAATCATCATGGTTGGGTGACAATGAAAATGAATGGAATGTGTGAGTATTGGTTGTGCGACATTTTATGTTGCCATTTCTGCCAAGTTTCTCTTTTTTTTCTGTTATTAAAAAAACACCAAATAAGCGATAGATGACAACATTTTGCTTTGTGGAATGATGATTCACTTGAAATGTTTGAATTTATGAAAACAACTATTATCGAGATGCTTTTCCCAATTTGCTTGATGGTGTCTCCTTTTCCTCTCTATTGTGAAAAATAGTTTAACATTGTGATAAAGTCATGCATGCGCACAAGTTTGAAAATTAACCTGTCATCAAATTTTGCATTCTTTAGGTTATGGGAAAAGATCCCAAATGAATCATACAGTCTGAGAAAAACTGAGAAAAAGCAAAAGTGAGTTGAGTGGACTGCATGCATTTGCCTTGCACATCTGGCACACATGTATGAAACAATCCATGCTAATTACCTCACAGTGGCATGTCTTTTTTTCATCTACTTAACAGCATGTTCACAAAATTTTCTTTTTTTTCAAAATAACATATACATGAATCTATAAAAAGCAAGCCTGGAGATGTAGACAAATCTTTTTGGTTGTTCTATTGTAGAAGATCTATTGCCAAACAGTCATTTTAATTACTGATGACTGTTGAGACCTCCCTTGACTCACGTTTTCCAGATTCAAGCCGATTGTGTTGCCATACCAGGATATTTCATGTGTGACCTCAGAGACTGAGTATGTAAATCAGTAGGTAGCATTGCTGTCTACTTCCTAGAGGGTACTGCTAACCATCATGCCTAAAGATGGTATTCCCAAACATCTGAAACTCATATTGTTTACAATGGTGCTTAAATCACAGAAGCTACTTATTGGTAGACAAATTGTTCCTGTGAATCTCCAAATAGCGCCTGTAAACATGATGTCAGGAGCAACTGCTAGTGCCTTTTTTCTACAACCTTGTTCAATTGGATGTGTTCAGAAATGCGTTTATATTGTGGCGCCATGTATTTCTATGTGCTGTACCAGAGTTATCAACTGTTGAATGATTGAATTGTCATATTTCCTTTTATTATGGTAGTTTCGGTTGACAGTACTTACTTGAAATAGCGGGACACTTACATGTAAGTCATGAACATGTAGCCATTGAGTACATCATGGCCAGCATGGTATCTTCCACCAGCTCTCTGGAGAATGTTACCTTCAAGCTTAAAGCCATCAAGAAGATTTTAAAGCAGCTTGACCTTCCTGCTATCTGAACAGTCACAAACAGTAAAAAAGAAATCAATCCTCTTCCCCTGCCATGCCTTTTACACTGACTAGTCACCAACAGTAAGATCATATTTCAAGCAAGCACTATGACTAGTCAAATTCAGTAAACAGACAAAAAACAGGCAAGTGGTAGGCACAGCTGGCTTATCAATCACCCACAGTCAAGGCATAGCTGTATCAAGTTACATAAACAGTCACAGCCAGTCAATCCTGCTTTATGTAGGCTGGGAGAGCTCTTAACTGTTGAAAACAGTCACTTGATTGATTTTGACTGAAAGGACAACTTGGCACAGAATGTATGTTTGCATAGGAGAGTTAAAGGTATAGTCCATCATTTGTAATTTGTGCATTTTGTTCGTTTGAAGGAACAAAAGTGTTCAAGATCTAAAGAAGGGTGCTGAATAACTAAGCTGTATACATCGAGAAAAACAACATTCTTGGATCTCGATTTCAAATCAAAACTTGCTGAATCATGTTTTGCGTCCGAGACACGTTCTCACGTTATCACTGAGCCGATTGCAGCTACGCGATGTCGCGCACTGATTCGACGAATTATAGCAACTGCGTGTGCATCGTGCCAATGCTTGCGCGTGCTTCTCCGAATAACAAAACAAACTCCTAATTTGAATTTCCTACGGTGCTTCTTAAGAACCATTGTAGGAAAGGCCTTCTTTTGTTGATTTCTTCAAAATGACAGCTTGCCAGAAAGAAATATTTCATAGGGAGTTTAGTCCCCGTACTGTCTTTCAACCAAGTATGTTTTTCAACAATAATTACGCCAGTTACTTTTTGGATAGCTGCAAATGATGGACTCTGGCTTTAAACTAGACAGAGCTCCAGGTCCTGTCCCATACCAATCAGGCTTATCGAAGAATGCAACTCTAAATTTACAAAAGCCCTTGTGTCAGCTTTTCTAGCTGTGTTTCTCATGTGGTGTTTTCCCCATTCAATGGAAGGCTGCATCAATTTTGTACACAAGACTGACTTCTTCCAAGGATTGACCCAGATGTCTGCTCAGTACCATCATTATGGACATGTATGGAAGCTCAAGTGCATAAACACCATAGAACTATCTGCATCATAGCAACTTGATTTCAAGCACCTTCATTATATTATGATTTCAGACCTTCATTATATTCTATCTCAGCCATGTCCCTGCGCATGACCCTGTGTCATAGCTCTTTTCATCACAGGAGCACTTGACAAAGTTTTACAAAACAGAGTACATGTTTGTGCAAAGAATAAGATGAATTCCAAAGGTGTATCTAGGAAGTTGCTTCACTGGCTGCAAAGCTACATTTACCTGTCTGATTGATATATTATGGTTTTTCTCTAGTCAGGGTGCAGATTCAGCATTAATCAATGTATCTAAAAAAGTTGATACTAGGCCTCCTACTTTCCATCTATATTGACAATCTGGTTGGTGTTTGTGAGAATGAGGTGTACTCTGTATGCAGATTTTTCAACATTCTATGCACCAGTGATCATGCTCTAATGTACCCATTACAGTTGTACTGAACCACATTGTATCTTGTCTTATATTTGAGCCAGCATTGTATAAAATAAGTGGGGGTCCCTTGCCAAGTCTTTGCACATAAATACAAGAATCAATAGCTATTAGAAAAGATCCAATGCAAAGAAAATCTTAATCTGGTTATTAGTTCTTGCTCTTTGGCGATTGTGTGTATGAACATGCTATAAACCTTTGCTTTGCCCTGAATTTCTCAATATTTAATGTCTTAAATGACGTAGAGTGTTAGTTCACAAGACATTGGAGAGAGGGATGGGGAATTTGTGCTCATCCTTACCTACTTTTAGTACAGCATAGAAATACAAGCATCTATAACACAATTTAGTCACATGTCTAGTGAATAAATTGTAATATAGATTCTTGCATTTTTCATGCAAGTACTCCAAAACAAAGAAAATTATGCCCAAAAAGTTGAAAATTATAAAAAGCAGCCATATTGGTTGCATTGTAGTTGGTCATCTGGATGCTTGATAGATTCAGGCAAAGAAACAGGGTTTTGACTCGGCTGATGGTTACCATTTTGGAAAATGGTGTTCATTTTTGTCACAGGTTGAATCTGAGACGGCCTATAGCCTAAAATCCTAAAAAGGTATATATTCTGACAACTTACCAAATTTCATGTCTCTATCATTGAAGGCACAATTGCACCAAATATTTCACATATCTACATTACTAACTACCAGTATATAATATTTTTGTAAAAAGTTGACCATTAATAAAGCAATTGAAGCAGATAAATGTGGAAGTGAAACGGAGTTGCTTTTGCATATTGTTGAGATTGCTTGACCACATGACTGTACATGTACTGTGCTGAGGTAGCATGTGCTCTCCTGCAATGCAGTGTATGCATACTATTCAGCAGTCTATCAGTATACAAATATTGAGTGGCTCAGAGTGAAATGGGAGGAATATTATCACTTGGTAAAATCTGGACTTTTCCATTTCACAAGGCGAAGCCGAGTGAACCGGAAAGTCCATATTTTACCGAGCGATAATATTCCTCCCATTTCACAATTTAAAGCCACTCAATATTTGTTTTATATAACTGATATATAGCCTTGTCATTTGATATATATTTGAACTTTTATTTCAATACAAAATCGGTGAAAATGTATTTCTCTCTACCAAACCACCCCTTCACAAAAATGTTTGAACCCAACTCTGTAGCGCTGGCTTTTTGGAACAATACGCCCCATGGGCGAATGGGACTTTTTGAGCCCTGGCGTGAATGGGAGCAATAACGAATGTCACATGATGTGAGTTCCACCAATCACATGACAAGGATCTGTATGTCAGTTATATAATACAAAATGCCATGTATTGAAGCCCATGCAGATGCAGTTGTATATATTTATATCTTAGGTTTTATCATTTTTTCTAAGTGGTATTTTGTTTAATTATCCTTTGTGTTTGTTCACTTTCAGAGCTGGGGATGATGAGGATGATTTTGAAACATTCCTTGAGTCTGTGAAGGCACGGTCACAATCAGTCCGAACAAATGGTGAGTTTTAAAATTAAGATTAGACCTTTTCCATAAATTTTGAAAAATGATTTGGAATACCTGAAATTATTGCCTACAGACTATCTGTTGGTTTGTTCAGGAACTACGTGAAGCTGTGTTCATTCCGCACACGATCAGTTTTAATTGCCTGTACTGTTGACAAACTGCCATCAGGATTAGTCTCTGTGAGATTTCCTTGATTCTGACCCATGTGACCAAAAACTCTTCCGTGTAAAAAGTACATGGGTCCCCCAAGAATCGTGTACCAGTCCTTGAGACTTACATGTACAAAATATTTGTTTAAGTCGTCAGATCACAAGTTATCGGAACCAACCCTGATCACTTTCTCCCCAGAACTCATGTTAATCTCCCCAGTGACAAGCAATTGGCACTCGGTGCCTTGCGCTCTTGAACTGACATTATCATGAAGCTGGCAGATAAAGGTTCAGCTGTGTTCATCATGGATCATCTGCAGTACCACTACAAGGCCTACCGCACTGCCTTGATTCTGACCCCACACCTACATTCTCACAAGAGATGCAACAGGTGCTTGATGATATGCGATCACGTGACCAGCTATCCAAGCAGAGTTGTAACGAGTCACTGATTTTTGTGACTTGAGTCGAGTCGAGTCAATTTAAAGAAGAGAATCGAGTCGAGTCGAGTCATTTTAAAGAAGTGACTCGAGTCGAGTCGAGTCATTAGGTCAAGAAGGTCGAGTCGAGTCGAGTAGAGTCGAGTCAAATATTTAGCTCGAGTCAATTCGAGTCACGAATATTTTAACACTATTTACCAAAATGTATAAAAGGAGGGCATATACATTTAGCTGGCGTTTGAATCCAAGAGGCTTTATAAGAAATCGCCAACAGCCAATGATGAAACAACGAATTGGAAAATGTTTTTAAAATCCGGTTCCTGAATAGTATTCAAATGTGCGTTCCAGAACCATGAGGTGAGAGTCTGTGACACGTTGTATGTTTGTAAATGAACATAAAATTCGCACCGTAAGTCATTGCAAATACTTTTCGCAAAAGTTTGCTTTTATTTTTGGGACTCGAGTCTTACTAGCATTCGCTCGAGTCGAGTCGAGTCTTTTGTTTGCAGTGACTCGAGTCGAGTCGAGTCATTTACCCATAGGGACTCGAGTCGAGTCGAGTCACCAAAAATTTGAACTCGAGTCGGACTCGAGTCATTACAACTCTGTATCCAAGATAGCCCATAAGTTGGTTTTTTTCATACTGACTGTACGACTGCCGATTTTATCTTCTCTCCAATATTCACAGACTGGTAGCTCCAGTAGGCCCATCGTCTCAGGTAACGGTTCACCCACAAAATGCATTTCCTTGTTTATTGACAGTTTTCTAAAACCCCTTGTCCCACAGATCCCATCATAGTCGGGTGGCACATGGTCGGAATCGTGATCGACTGGTCCGAAGCACCAAACCTGGCATATGGATTCTTATAGCCCTAGAGGAGATACATGTATTTAGAAGGGGTGACACCTGAAATTCTTTTTGGAAGGGTGCCTAATTTATTAAATATATTACACCTGTCGTGTAATATATTTCTTCCAATATTTTGGTGTACTCTTATTTTTTTATTTTTTGAAAAGTATATTTTGGGGATTCTACTTACATATCCTTACTTCAATGACATTTTCTAAAGCATATCAGAGAGCTGATAATAATGAGAACATAATAAATGGCCACCATTATACCCTAAAGTGGCGCGCATAACCTTTTCCTCAGATATCAAGTACCGGTATTCTCGTCAAAGGTCGGTATTGATCAGCTTCAAATTCACAAAGTTACTAGTTAGTAAGGAGTGTAAGTAGAATCACCAAACTATACTTTTCAAAAAATTAAAAAAATTCACCCAAATATGGGAACAAATATATTACACGGGTATTTACGATTTATGCAACTTAGGCACCCTTCCCAAAAGAATTTTAGGTGTCGCCCCTTCTAAATATCTTCTCTAGGGCTACAAGAAGCTATCTGCCAAGTTTGGTACTTTGGACCAGGCGGTCACGATCTTGTCAAAAATTGGGTCTAAGCCACCTGACTATCATATATGACGCGCCATCATGTATGACACCTAAGACTTCCCACGCAAGCTAGAAGAAATCAAGGACCAGATTCCCAGCAATGCCTTTATTGGGACTTTTGAGATCTCATCTTTGTACACTAACGTTCCACACGCAGAAGGTATTCGTGCTTGCTCCAGGGCCCTGAACCCTCCCACCCAGCAAGGTACTTTTCAGTGCAGTTCCAGAGATGTGTTGTTTGCCAGGTCCACATACAGGAGTCTGACTCCTACTCTGGCCTTTTTCCTGGCACTTCTCCCAGAACTAATGGTAACATCACTCGCAACACCTCTAATGTTACATATCTCATAATTGCAGGGTTTGTGGAGTCTAGTATGTCGGGTAGACCAAGAACACACTCGGAAGTGTTCTATGATCATCGATCAACTGTTAACACTAAGAGACTGGACAACCCTGTTGGTCACGTCTTCAACCTGCCTAACCATTTCATTTCTGGTATGGTTTTTAGGGCAAAGAATCATTTGACCGTCACAAGGACTTGGTTTACCTCAGCAGGGAGAAACTGGATGAATCATCTTTGGACCATCCAAACACACAGATGCAACATTCTCCATTGTCATTTGTTACAGATAATCCTCCTGGCTAACCCTCTTTGGGGTTATCTCCTCCTTTGTTGTTCTTCCCTTTTAACTCCCCCCCTGTTGAATCTGTCTTTTGTGGTTTCCCTTCCACCCATGATGATTGTGTGTCCCCATCTTTTTTTATTTCTGCCCCTCTGTCATTTTGTCTTTGAAAAAGATTTGTAGGATCGAAACAATGGTCAGTTGCCATGATAGGGAAGAGGGATGATATAGTATTAATACACTGTGATAATCCACTCGGTTAAAATATCCGTTTCTTGGTTAAAAGGGGCACTATAGGTCCTGAAATCCCCGAAAATTTCATGTTTTGGATTGTTTACTTAGCCTATTTCAAACATGCATCCAAACAGCTCGAATTTATGGGGTCGCAAAAGTGGACCCCGAAATTCTTTCTCACACGCATAATACGTGAATAACACAAAAACGCCCAGTTTTTAAAGGATAGTTGTGTGGATGTTTATATCCTAGTTTTAAATGTTCTTTTCGATTAACATAATCTCGTTCAAAGCGCATTTTGTAGCCCAGTTGGGCTGTTCGAGGACCAAGTGTCCCTTTAAACAGGGAATGTTCCCTTAGATCACTCAATTTACATGTAACCGTGCTGATTCTCAGTTATATTTTGGGACAAAAAACACACGGTTAAAATGGGATGGTTTCCTTGAATCCCGATTTATTATGAGTTTTATTTCAGCAGTGCAGCCTTATAAGTTATTTGAACTGCTATTTCTAAGGGCCCTGAAAACATAAAGTTAGTTACTAAGTGAAGTTAAAAAGGTACCTTTTCAAGTAAAACAGTTAATAAATTTAAATGATTAAATATTAAATATAAATAGTTAAACAATAGAAATAAAAATATATGAATCAATTTGATTAACAAGGCAAGTTACTTAACTTTTAAAAATACTTTAAAATGTAAACAAAATTGAGATTACAATTAAACCAGTGAGAATCAAAAACCAAAAGGTAACTTGACCAAAATATAACTTAAAAGAAAGCAAAGAAAAGCACATTGTTAGACATCAACATGTAAACAAACAATTAGGCCTACTAAAATATAAAAAAAGAACCAACACGATAAAGTGAAGAGATTGTAAAAACAAATAATTAAAATGATTCAATATGAATAGTTAAAAACAAAATACACAATGGAAATTAAAATACATGAATCGGCCAAAATTCTTAACTATTGGAAATAGTTGGAAGATTACAATAAGCAAACGAGAAACAAAAACAACAGGTAACTTGACCAAACAATAACTTAAGAGAAAAACAAAAGATTTTTAGACATTAACATGTATACATGTACAAATCAAATTACTGAAAGATAAAAACGAGCTTTAACAATTATGCTATGAGATAATACGGTACATTTTAGATGAAAAACAAACTAAAACACAGTGTTGTAGTTCTCTTACTCGAAATGACGGTACTCGTACTCGGGCAGCAAAGTACTCGTACTCGATATGTCAAAATTGTACTCCATCATCAAGGTACTCGACTTACATTTGTACCACGGCCTTATTTTATCAATACTTTCAGTTTGAAATGGTTGATTGGCGTGCGGAGAAATCAAAGTTTCCTGACTTTATTCTGTGCACGTCCGGACAAACACAAATAACAGCTAGCCATGAGTGGGTTTGTATATCAGTCTGACTGGGCCTGGGCCTGGGCCAATTACGCACAATGACCCATTTGCCGTATGTGGGCACAATGTACGTGAAATTAACTTGGGTGATTGTAGCAACGCCGTTTTCCGAACCCCGGTTTGAGCTCCCTATCCGGGTCCAGCCCCATTGCCAACCTGCATGAATAGAGAAAGAGGCGGAGCCGAAGCTTAGGTTTGGAAAACGGCCCCTAGTCTGGTTCTGGCATCAGGCCCACAGACATAAACACAGGCCTAGGCCAGGATTGTCACGTCAGGGAAGCAGACTACATGGCGTAGTACACATACCGTCACCTACACCACGAAGTAGCACTCCACGTGTTAAACCACATTTCTTTCGGTTTTCAGTTTTTACATTTTGAAACATTATTCATCAAGGCCTACCAGTGTATGAAGTTTCAAAGCTTCAAGAGCTTTACTTTACAGGGGTGTGAAATCTCAGCTTTAAAGCTGATTTCAGCTGTTTTTGTTTTGGATTTCAGCTTTTTTCCCGCACTTGTTGAGTACAAAAGTATAGGAGATTTCCAAAGTTCAGCTTTTTTTACACCCTTTTTAGCTATTTTTATCAGTGGTCACTCACGCTCCTGTGATTGCGATAATTATCCATGGTAACTTTTGAGCAAAAGTGACAATTTTTGTTTTCACAAAG